CATCAGTTTTACGTTCGTTGTAGGATTGATGTATGACTTCTCGAATTGCGCATTTATAGATGTACATATGAGGAAGATCAAAATTTTCTTATTTTACCAAACTATAATGCAAATATGTGTATTTTTAATATTACATTTTTGAGATGTGTACCTACAGTAACTGAAAACAAATGACCTCGGAGAAAATTTCGTCACAGCTATTAGGTAGTATCATTGTATAAGTAAATATAATGAAACAAATATTTTTACAATATTAGTTTCTCAAGAAATACAAACTTTATGGAATTAAAAAAGTTATTATTCCTAGCTGTTATTTCTGGAATATGTTTTTTAACTGAAAAATTAAATCAGTAGAATTGTACCATACTAAAAGTTTTTTCTTTACGTGCTAATAGTTTATGATGAAACTATTAAAAACTTAATTATTTCCGATCAATCATGTGATTTTGTTATTTGAGTTTCTTCTTACTTACGTGTACGTCAGGTAAGTGATAAAGCTCCACAATTACGTTATTCCGATGTAAACTGGCAATACCCTCCTAAAGTAACAGTTGTGAAAGTTTCATCTGATTAACTTATATTTTTGGAATTTCCATGGTATTATGCACGGCGGAAGTTTGTCGCTAATATAACCGCAGAACAATAGAAGGTATCATTAACCTCACGAAGGGCAAAGTTTTAAAAAAACGAACAGATCAGATAATCAATTGAAACGAGTTAAGAATATTAGTGGCAATGTTAATTTCACCTATCTTTTGAACCACTGAAACAATTAGCTTTTTACTAAATAAATACGTTCTTTCATTTCTGGACTCCTCATAGGAAATTTATATTTTATAGGTATTGTAGGCCTGTTAGGGCTACAGGTTAGGGATCCTTGGTTCTATATGATACCTCTTTGTTTTTCTGTCTTTCTTATAGTAGAAGATACGGTGTATAGATTTCCTTTTGGACTGATACAGCAAAGAAATTGCTCATTTCGTGATCTTATTGAAACATACAGTCTTCAGGTGCAGCAAAGCTTTTAATGCCATTTTTTGTTCAATAAAATAAGACATAGAATGAGTGGACGTGACAAAATTGAATTATCACACTATAGTGAGCAAATAATAATAAACCATTTTATAATGAAAACATAAAAAATTGAATAAACCACCTATCAGCTCTTTGAAACAGCCTTGCAGCCCTACCAATTGGATTTTGGTGAAATTATCAAACTATTAACTATGTACATAAAATTTTTAGATAGAAGCTTAAAAAAGGTTAAGACTAATTCTGTCAGACAACAAAGGGAAAGTACATATATTTCTGTATTATTGGGAAAATAGGAGAAATAGGAGAATAGGTAACAAATTTAATGTTAGAACAGCATTTTATTGTCAATGACGCGCCCAAATAATGATTTTCGAAATTCAAAAAACTACGAATGCAATAAATATCATGTTGGAGAGACCTCCCGACCCGTAAAAATTATAATAGACAGCACAGAGATTATATTAAAAAATGAGAATTTTAGAAATAAAAAATTTGGAGAAGGAAAATAATACCCTTAAAAGAAAATTAAGAGACCGTGATTATTTTCTTGAACGGTGAAAGCAAGGGTGAAAGATGTGTTCCAAATTATTCCGTGAACTTGTTGTATAGGCCAGGAACTATAGGGAGTTGGACGCTACTTTTTGTTTCGGCAAGCTGAATTTATCACTACAGATGCTAAATATTATGTACAATAACATATTAGTTTTCACAGTCATAAAAATGGGGGGAAGATTGTTTACAGGCTGGTTAATTGTATAATTTTTACGTAAATTCACGTTTTTCGCTTATAACTTTTTTCCGTTAATTTCCACGAGAAAAGAGTAAAGTACTTTTTTTTCGTCAAGAATCGTTGAAAAACAACGGAGTTAAATGTATTATTTTCAAGCGAATTTCGCTTTTTTAACGGCAGGACCATGAATATTATCGTCATTTTCTTCGGACTCGCTGTCGTTCGCTTCCCTCACCCTTCCGCCGCGCCACGGCTCGCCGAAAAATTAAGCGACCCACTGACTTTTCACAATATTTCTTATGCACTTAACATACTTCCACAAATAAAATATTTTTATCTGGCAAATTACTCGGGTTGCCGGTTATGACAGTATTTTTTTTCACCGCTACCAACCTAATATGTTTAACAACAGGCCGTCAATTTTGACAGTTTGTAACCCCGTTGTTTTTCAACGAATCTTGACGATTTTTTTTTAACTTAAAGCTCTTTTCATAAGCTTTCCGAATATAATATATAACTATATCACGCGCGTGCGTCGTATATTCCGTTTTGCAACTAAGGCTAAAAAATAAAAAATAATTTCAGGTTGCAAATTTGAAATTAAAAAAAAAGATATATTTCAATGTATTATTATGAAATCTACCATGAATAAAATCAATGCGATTGTGGAAAATGCTCGGAATCGTCCACACCAATAATTAGTTAATTTGTTTATAAGGCCATAACTTGTAGACTATTCAACTTACCGATTCCAGATTCTCCAGACGTTCTGGTAATAATAACGCAGTTTACAAATGTTTAATTCAAAAGTCATAAATAAACTTCTTGTTTATAACTTTTGATCTAATCAATATTTTTTGACACTCGGTTTTGTAGGTCTTTTGAAGACGAAAAAAAAGTACTTTACTGTTTTCTCGTGGAAATGAACGGAAAAAAGTTATTGTACATAATATTTGGCATCTATAGTGATAAATTCAGCTTGCCGAAACAAAAAGTCGCGAAATGGTCATTTCCCAGTTCTTTTTCCTGGCCTATGTAAGTATCCTTGTTAACTACAAATTCTAAAAGATGAAGTAATAATAATAGAATAAATATCAGTTGATATATCACTATGTGAAAGGGGAAAACAAACAAATTTAAACTGAAAAATAATTAAAATGAAGTCATTATAAGTTCCGAAGACGAAAACATAGATTTTCGAAACTATGTATTTTCTTTAAAAATAAACCTTGACTGATCCACAAGGCAAAAAAGATGTATGCACCTGAAACTGTTTTATTGTTATTTAGTATATATTTTTTGTATTGTTTCAAATTTGAAATCATGTTTTTTCATACAAAGCAGGAGTTATGTGTGATAATAACTTAAGTGTAAAATTAAAACTACGGAGAAATGTGGAAAACATCCGGTTAGAATTCGTTCACTGTAGCAGTATAACACTTAAAAAACAATTCAATAAATATAATAATTGGATTTGTAAAATTTAGATAACACAAATATTGACGCGAATACCGTGTCCGACACTGATTTAGCACCTTTCTGATAAAAAAAAGGGTTTACTCAGATAATAACGGGTAAAAATATGAATGTAATTCTAAGAATTCGCTAGATCTGCTGTATGAAATTATGAGTGTAAGCGTAATTATAATAAAAACACAATTAATAATAAAATGTGAATAATATTTGGGTGTTTTTTGAGGCGCGAGTGGGTCGCTGTTTCAGCGATTACTCGAACGCGCACTAGCATCGTAAATACCCATGACGTGACAGAGTCATGTTGATTCCCTCAAATCTAGAATTAAGTATTGCGCAACGTTGAGCCTGGTCATGGTCAGAGCGCGTGGAACTCGGTTCGTCACAGATAAACACTCCGCCACAGAGTGTTGCGTTGATAGGTTAGACTAACTCTGCTAGCTTTAGTGTATCTATCGATTTTATTTTATCAAGCCGTTACTTTAGACGGCGAACTTACAAACGTAAACATAATACTTACCACCTTGGAAAAATTAGCAGGGAATTCACTTGTTTATGGCTAGGAGTTCTTGGAAATATGAAATGGTTTTTTCTAAAATTTGGGAAAGCATTTCTAGGAAATATCAAATAACAATGACGCCGTACAAATTCTTTTAACGATGTCTCGCCAGTACTATCTTTTTGAATATTTTTGCGTCTTAATACCATGTTTTGATGGTATTATTTTGTTTTTGTTCTATCATGTATGTTTACCTTGATTAAATTCAAAAATATATTATTTTCAGCTCCATTTACGTGCACGTATATTTCCAAGATTATAGAATTGTTTGTTTTAAACATGTTTGGTAATTTTATTGACACTTAATCCTATTGACATAAATTCATCACGAAAGCACCACAACTATTGCACGCCCAGAAATCGTATCCTAATCAAAATTAAAATTTTATGAAAAATATTGCTTTGTGACATACTAATTGTTGCCATTTTAAGTGTTGTGTATCATCGAGACAATTTAATTTAATAACGTTTTGAAATTCTATTTAACAGTATAATGAAATAAAATATCTGCAACTGATATGCCACATAATTATTTCGCTTGTGTAGTTAATCAGCGTTATTCAAAGTATGAAAATCATTAAATAATTGAGCAGTTTGATATGTTGCATAAAAATATTAAAATATTTGAATTATTTAAAAATATCAAAACCGTGTCATTAATGTTATTATCCTAGAAGCTGATTAACTGTAGTTGTAGAACATTTGAAATAGTAATTAAAAATAATAGTAATTCAGATTAGCATTGCTTTTGACGGAACATTGAAATAGTTATTGAGGCGATATTACATAATTAGTACATGTTGCGTTTATTCGTTTAGAAGAATCAAATAATTTTATATGCAGCTTATTTATTTACATTTGAAACGTCAAGTATTTTAAGAGTACGATTAAAATTAACCAAGATAAAAGCGTGCAACGAATTAACACACTTTTCTGTTCTTGATACAGCTAGGATAGTTTTCGAATATACCGTTAAGCTAGAATACTTGTAATACATATTTTTAATGAGTCGACATAAATGTGCTCGGAATGCTTTATGGTAATCTGTCGTTTTAGAATAGGAGTTTCACTATGAATGATAAAGAAATCTGCTTTACTGTTAGTAACTCCTGTAGCATCGACAGTAAAAATATTTAGATTAGATTTTTTTTTGTAGTTTGAGAAATTATGTGAGGGTTAATGTGGGAAATAAAAACGATTTGCTTGAAAAACGATGCAAATATTTATTATTTTAATACATAATTAGGATACATGAATCGGTAATATGAAAATATCGATATTTTTTATAATATGCATATTTTATGCTGGACAGATTCATACATTTTACATCATTTAACAAAACAAATTATGTAGCTTTGAGGTAAGGTCCAGCATAAGTCTTACAATAGATATTTATAAATATACAATAATGAGATAATATTAACCGGCTATGCCCGGTAAATAACAAAAATACATACATTTTATACATAAAGATAAATAGTTTACAAAAATCACACATATTTCAGCTAAGAATAAAAGGTACGTTAATCCCTATGATAAGTCGACAAAGAGAAATCAGCTGTGATGATACATACAGTACACAGTACAGTATACAGGTTTGATAACAATGTATATTAAGTCATAGCTAATAAAAGCGCCAATAATACGCAATTAAATTATTTGTAAATAAGGATAAACATAATCATAGGAATATATTGATTGGCAAATGAAAGCGGTAGGTAATTGTGCGGTTGAAATATCCTTCAAGTCAATTCTTAACTAATAATAATAAATACCTATCAATATAATAAATATGCCCCATCGGAGCATGATATGTCCAATCTCCATAATGAGAATCAATCACAAAAACAGTGGCCCCTTTCTGCAACCACTTCATCACATCAGACACATTTCCTAAACTAATGCTGCGATATTGGCTTGTCTTTACGGTTCATCATGGACTTTAGATGTTCGACTTCTGAAGAAAGTCTGACGATTTCTGAGTGCAGTCTGTGTTTGGCGGCTGTGTCGCCGTCCGCAGCTTCCTGCATGGCTTGAAGCTGGGATTGCTTGTGGAGAGTCTGAAGCGTTGCTGCTGCAGTGGCCGCGGCGGACCATTCAGCGCCTAAGGAGATGCCGGAATCACGCTCATCGCTGGAACCTTCGCCATCCCATGGGGGGCTAGCGCGAGGTCCAGGTTCTTGTTTGATGTTCTGTAAGGAAAGTAATGCACTTGCGGCGTCTTTGTCGCCAAGATGGGACTTATGTCTTAATTTTAATGGTAAACTGTTATTGGCTTCGTTCGTCGTGAGGGCAACCGGTGCGCTTTCATCGCCTGAGTTACTGGAAACCTCAAAGGGGGATTGAACCCTGGAGCGAGATCGGGATAGATTCAGTGCATTGTTTGAGTCGTAGTGCATCGTTGGATGGTATGTGAATGGGTAGGGATGGTATTCAGAATGTTCTCTGTAAGGAGGTTCCACGTGTGACGGTGGAGGATGCAGCATATTGTGTGCGTGTGGCAAGGGTTGTGGTGATGGAGATCCCATGGTTGGTTGGTGTATTACTGGGGTCGGGATGGGGCTCTGAGGACCAAACAGTAATGGGGCTGGGGGATGGGCTATTTTCTGTCTCTTGGATAAACTGAGCACCTGTTCGTTGGTTGGTAAGTTCGCAAGAACCTTTTCCACGCAGACGACATTCTCACCACAGATCCCATACTCTTCCTTTATGGCTTCTAACTGAGCCTTTAAAATAGCATTTTCCTTCGTAAGTTCCACCACGCGTTGTTCCAACACCATGTCGTTAAACCTTCTTTTTTCCCTTGATCTTTTAGCTGCTTCGTTGTTTCTACGACGTCGATCCCAATAACTGTCATCCTTCTTGTTATCGGGCGTAAATTCCCTCTGTTTGCGGGTGGAAAATAATTCCTTGTGTTTGACGTTCGGCATATTGTAATTCATGTTATAATCCTCTCCTGGTGTGACTGAAGCAGGTAACATCTCTCGGCCGTGAGTGGCTGGCATATTAGAATTCAAATGCGGGATTTCACCGTTTACGGGAGAACCACTTTGTCCACGGCCCACAAATTCGGCAACCATTATATGTTGTTTTATGACATCTGAAACAAACAAAAACAATTAGATATCTCGTATAATGGGAGAAAATTCCAGAAATACCAAATCAACAACATCAAAAATATGGATTCACAATTTTGTTAAAGTTTAACAATAAAAAAACTGATATATAAATCTTTCAAGTCCTGTATTAAAACTAAAGGCGAGCCTACGAATCCTATGAAATTGTTCAGGGAAGGGGGACCACCAACATCCCCCCCCCCCCCACCTTTCCACCTCCCAGTAATGTACGGAAATATTTTTTTTACAAACTAAGCTTATGTCTTACAATTGCAACGGCCACTCGGTTTCAATAAAGATGAATTTCGTCAATTAAATCATTTCATTCGTTCGATTTCAATGACAACAGTTTGAGCAACGTGATATCGAACACGTGCCAAAGCCCTAGCACGTTTTCGCGGTCCTAAGTGCTTGTCCTTTTCTACTTTGTATCTAACACGTGTAGCTAGTGAAAAGCTGACTAATCGTCACTTCTCGAAAAGTGTCCGTAAACTAGTGCATGGCATTCATAATCATAATACGCAATAGGAAGGTAGATATTAATAGATTTTCACGAAATTTACCGAAAAGATTTGCTTCAATCTCAACAATGTAAACAAATATCAATTTTAGGAACAAAAAAAATACATAATTAGACACAAAGGAACCACGTAGTATTTTTGTCATTCTACAAATGCGTCTAATTATAGGTTAAATCGAAATTGCGTTTAATATATATGACACGTCAGTAAATACGTCGCCAAATCTGCTTGAAAACAAATTGCGATATAAAACAAAAGTTTATCAAGATTATTTCATTATAAACCGCTACCTCTTTACAATCAAAGAGAAATGAGGTCAAAGTCTTCGCTTACATAATTTCGTAATGGCAAATCTATATAGAACAGAACTCGGCGTTCAAATATTTGTCAGCGCACATTTAATTTATTTTTAAGTAATAGCGTGTAAACCATACGAGATACACTAGATTAAGTATTACCAACACCTACGCATTATGCTATTTTCAATTTTATTGTCCATGATAAGCCCATTTTAAATGTTGCTGTAAGACACGTACTTGCTTTTATTACGCAACTATATTACGGTTCCGGAACAATGATTATAATCGAGAAACTAAAAGGTTGCAGGCATTACATTATCTCCTACGTCAATTAGAGTAAATTGAAATGCTATACAGACCGGGCACATGTCTCGTTCCTCAAAAGTCAAAACCAAAAGACCGGGTCTACAACGACTAAAGAATCAATATCGCAATTTGTAGCCAGTCAGAACGTATTTCGAAAAAACTAGAAGCCAAAATATTTTTGGATTATTTTCTAGAATTCTTTGTTTGGTGCGGTACTGGGTTTTCCTAATTGCTACGTGTGAATCATCCTTTCTACCCGATATTAAAACAATGAAAAGTACTTGTGTATACTTAAGTATTAGTAAAGCATGGAGCAGTTGTTAATGAGACCTGGAAGTAGGCTACTAGAATATCAGTTCAAGAATGCTGGACAATAATATTGAGGCTACATCTTGGACGCTCAACGATACACATCGTTACATAATGTTACCAAGAACATGCAAAATGACAAAAACATCCTCGGATTAACAGTTAAACTTGTATTTCTTTGTTCTATAACCTCTACGTTCTTAATAGTATCACACATCAACCTAATTGACCATTGGTCTGTGCCAATCGAGTCCCAGTTACAAATATCTCGATAAACACAAGGTACAAGGAATTAGAATGACGAACGGTTTAAGGAAAATCCTTACTATTACATCTCAACTTTTAAATAAATACGTGGATAATAAAATTACGAAGTTTTTAGAAGGCGTATGGAAGGTTTTGGAAGTATTCGATATTAATATTTCTATGAATCAGTTTACTTACTCATCGACTACGATGCGATATTTCAGGAAACGGAATTGATAATTACCACAAATTAATTAACTAGTATTGCATCATTTGCCAGTGTTAATCAGACGAATTACAATATATTTTGTGTCGTGTCAATAAATTCTTTCTAGGAATTTGAACTCTGAAAAACAGCACGTTGTAGGTAAATAAGTTTAGCATAAAAATATGGTTTATTATGACAACTTGCGCAACGCTAACGCCAATCGAACAATTGTTATGAATAATTTAGAACGATCTAACTGTATTATAGGCGCCAATATGATGTTTAAAATATTATTAGAGCATATCTGTCACCTAAACTCATACACCGTAACAATCGGATCATAACACAAGATCGCGACAACGGCAAACTTTTTTTTTTTTTTCGAAAAAAAAATCTAGACTTACCAACTAAATGTGTTGACGTTATTGTAGAAATCTTAATAGCTCGCAAGTATTAACACTGCCTCAAAACAAAATAATGTCAACAATAATCACAACAATAGCAGAGAGCACTTATACACGTCTCGATCAACAAACGTTTTAGCAATGACTGAACGCCTAGCAGCGCGGCTTGCCTGAATTAACTAGCAGGCTTTGGACTCGCGGACTCGTCGAAGATTACGCGACGCGGGCGGCTGCCGCGACCCGCGTGTTGATCACAGCCGTCGGTGGGGAAAGACAGAGGACAACACCCTCAGTGACTCACCAATCAGAGCAGGGACAGGTTAAATTCTTATTCTTATGTAAGAAAATACTAATCGCCTAGGCTTTTTAAATTTCAATTTGGCCCATTTTCACGTTCACCATATTGCGTAATAAATTTTGTCTTTGTCCCCTCCGATAATCATGCCAAATTCGAAAACACTCTTATGATAAAATTGCGTCTTAAACAAATAAAAAAAATAACCTACACGTAAACAACCGCGCTTTGTTTGTTATTAATAATAAAGATATTTTAATTAAGCTCTCCACTGACGGTCACGGCCGTACTAAGGGGTTTTTAATTCTGAAATTCATTTTATTCCGTTACCCAAATCGAATTTTCTTAGACTTCCCTTTGTTGCAGCGTACATGCAATATCAGTTACGTCAATAGGAAGCTGATTAAGCCATGTAAATACATATTTCACACTATCACGAACACTATGGATATTAGAAACATAGACGGTTTTTGTCCAGACATAATTCGACTGAATAAATGTTTTTCTTTTTTTGGAGCAAGGTTTGTTCGCGTTTGTTGAAAGGTGAACTTTAACATCCTCTAATAGGTACGTTTATCAGTGAAAATTGCAACATATTTTGCAACTTGCCTGGTTTTATTATATTTCCTATTTCTAGTTTCGTCTATAGTCATCCATATTTTTTTCCGCGTGAGTTCAATCGTGTATTACCCCTAGTTTCACTATTATGCTATACGATTGAGACAGCTTCGGTGTAAGTCACTTAGGTACATATTTCTGTCAAAATAATCGAAATATTATTAGGTTATACAAGGTGTTATCGAAATAAGTGCTCAAAATTTGAGATTGTTTAAAACATGTCGAAATATGATGTAAATCTTAGTAGAGGTTTTGTCAGTGGCGGCCCCTTGAAGGGGAAACTCAGAACACAGTTTTTATTGCATAACTTCAAAACGATTTAATATTAAATCAGATCTAACAGTCGATTTCTTTTATGTATTTGACTTTCAATGTATTTTATACTGATTGAACTCCAGCCCAACAAAATCGTTTTGCAAACATGACATTTTATTACTGTTCCGTCATAGCGTAAATCAGGAAAACGGTTTAGACATGTTGGGTATAGCTCGAGCAAGAAGGCCGTTTTTAGTTTATTTAAATGTGGCTCCTACGAACGCCTAAAAGACACTAAACATGCATTAAATGAAACGCACCGAATTGCCAGATTTGCGAATAAAATTTCGCCAAGTTATCTCAAAAACTATCTGTTTATCTATCCTCCTGTGGAGGCTATATCTTTTTGAAGGCACAAATCTAGAAAAAAATCAGAGGGTTCAAAATATTTGATGGTTATCTTCACACATGTAGCTCAGACTGTCATAAGTCAAGTAGTACTTTACATTTTATGGTTTTTTGATTCCAAAGGGTCGAAAAATATTTTTCATATACATCACATTAGCTGAATGTGTACCTTAGTAAATCGGCCATTTTTAGATGTCACACCATTTTTCACATTCACAGAGACTACAGGATCTAATTTTTTTTTGTATATAAGGACAGTTATTCATAAAACTTCTTCAATATGAAAAAAAGAGTTGCAAGGATTTTATTCATAAATGGAAATAGACGTCCTGTACACTTATTTTTAATAATGACTTGAACATCTTGAACAGAAAAGTAGTTTACCTAAATTTGAATTGTAAGAAGCATTCCTCATTACCTCATTATTAATATAAAATTCAAAATTAACTAAGCATATAATTATACTACTACCACATACGTCTGCTAATTAAACAAAAGGTTGAATGAAGAATGCGACGTTAGAGAGTACCTAATCAACATTTTCCTGTAAAGTTGCACAATTTGAGTAAAAAGAAAATATAAACTAGCACAAATCGGTCGCCAAAAGGGAAATTGGGCGCCTGTCTGCTTTGAGAAGAGCCCAAATGGCGGAATACCGCCCAATCTAGCAACCTTGGAAATTTCGCAGGTACCATTACTGCGTCGTTTTATTTACGCACCAAAGTGACAAACTCTACTTATAAGTACGTTATTTGCATAAACAACATCAATAAACAAAAAACGAGTAAAAAGTAATTTGTAAATTGTAACGTCTGTTTCATAGTATACATTTGTTTCTGCAAATTTTTCGTTAATTTATTTTTAAGTCCGGTTCAAAGGAAGCGTAGTTTCTGGAACATTTAACTACTTGAAGAGATAAAGAATTCCCTTATTATCTGCAAATGCAGCTTATCAAGGTTCTTTGTGTGATTTGAGTATGACGGTATCAGTCACCCCCGATTATTTCCTGGTGCCTCCTTTTGTCGCGGCATTTTTAATTTTGTTATTTTCTAGATGACGCTGATAAATAATTCAGGTAATATGTTTATTGCGAATACGTATTTGTAATACGCAAT